TTATAATGGTGCTATTAATTGTTTAATTTCAACTATTGAATATTGCATAATTACTTAAGTGGTTAATTTGAAATTGTATATCCATAAATTGCAAAAATTGGCCATTGACTCTATCACCCCCTCTAGAGTCAATCCTTGGGCAACAATTGGTATCAGAACCTAAACTCTATTAAAGGACTTAACTATCTTAGAGTACGATCATGGCCAACAATGGTAGTATCACACTCTTAGAAGGACAACCCAATGATAAACTATAATACCCCTAATTTTAAGAAGGATATTCCTGGTATTTAATTAAATATTTAATTGCATTTTATTTGATTATGTGTTATGTTATTTGTTTATTTGCTCAATTATTTTATTTTGGTGATTAAATTGAATTAAGTGATTTATTTTTAATTGAATTAATTGATTTATTTTAATTATTTATTTGGAATTAATTGTTTAAGTGTATTTGATTATTTAATTGGTTTTTCATTATGTTGTTTTACTTAATTGGATTTTAACTTATTTACTTGATTTAATTATTGAATATTTTTAAGTTACAGTTAACTTCGGATTACAAGTCAAGTATAGGTAAGCCGCCGTATGGAAACATAGATAGTTTCATGGGCCGATTAGGGTTGGAATTAGGGCTTAGTCTCTAATCATTCATAGGCTAGGGTTATTAATACACACCTATAAATATCAGCAACTAAGGTTTAAGTTTTTAAGAAAATAAACGTAAATTCTGTAAATACAGAGACTGTGAGATACAGAGGGAAACAGAGAGGGAGATAGGAGAGGAAGGCTAAGTTGGATCAAAGAGGAAGGAACGTAGTTTCTGGAATAGCTGTGGGGAGTTGGATAATGGGGAATTGGACAAAAAGTTCAGAGAACGGTAGTTTAGAGTTTCAAATTTGAAACTCAAAGGCAAGTCTCTGTTCTTCTCTTTCCCATGAATCTGTGTTCTGTGCATGCTTAGTTAGACTCCAGGAATTAAACTAAGTCTTAATTACATCGTTTATACAGGTTAAATCAGTTTCTACTATCATTGAATTAAATCTGTTGCTCAGTTGTTACAAGTTCAGTTTATATATGGTCGTTGTTTGCTTTAAACATTGATGTGTAATTAAATTCTTAGTTGTATAACTCTGTCTTGTGATCAATCTGGGATGAGGATGGGACTTTAAAACCTGTAATAAAACTGAATTCAAAGACTGGAAACCACCGGAGTCGGAGAAGACAACAGAAGAACAGACGTTTTCCTTGAAGTGGAGAAGGATCTCCTTAAAGTGGAGAAGGCTCTCCTTGAAATAGAGAAGGCTCCCTTGAAATGGAGAAGGCTTTTTGTTTTCAGAGCCTTCTCTTTCTCCTTTAATACGTAAAACTGATAAATTGAGATCTATTTGGTTAAACTGGATTTTTCTAAGGCTGTCTGTGTGCTACTGAATAATGTAATTCACTGCTTAAGACTTATAAAATTGTTGGGAAGCAAGCCTACATTTAGATATTGAGGATGTGATTAATCTAAGCTTAAACAGAGAGTTCGTAGGTGAAGGATTGGAAAATTAACTTCTGTTGCTTACTGTTTTTGAAACTTTGATTTCTCTGCAAAAATCTTAAATTAAGAATCATGTTTTCAGCTGTGATTTAGGCATATATTAATTTAATTATGTGTATGCTTAAATGGAGTTAACTAATGTTTAAATCGGTTATACATTGCAATAGTATGGTACTGTTTGGAGAGGTAGATTGTGTAATCTTATTTTATAAATTTAAAGGACTGGGATTTGGATTCTAACTCTGTTAGTGGATGCATGATTTAGTTTTACACATGTGAAATTGTATTTGTTCTTATTTTGGAATGTAGTTGATAACTATTTATACTATTTTTGGTCAACTATGGTAAATGGAGGATAGTGTGCACCGGTATGGGACGGTGGCATACTAGGTATGGATTAGTTCAGACACTAAGCCTACCTAATCTGGATTGAGGTTTGGATTAACAATAAAAGTTAAGTCCGACTTCTGTTAGTGTCAGGTCAGTAAGTAACTGAATGACATAATTGGATTTCTGGAATAAATTGTTATACAGATATCGAGCCACTATATCAGATGGATGATATTCTGTATTAGGAGGACATAGACTTTATAAATTTATGTTATGATGACATGATATAAGCTTGAGTCTCATAACCATGGTTAGGGTGCGTATATCGCCTAGGATGGATAGCTGGACAGTAATGTTGTTCCCTAGTAGGTCTAGGTACACATGACCACGTAATGTGCGATTTGCATGGTATCTCTACTCAGGCCGAGACAGACCTATTGGACTAGTGAGCATCCTATAGTGTGTATTATATACATATATGGACTACTCTAGATATTGTTGAGTTTATCTAGGATGTATCTACGTATCAGATTCTTGTTTGGATCGTAACAGAATGGGACTTGCATGTGGGCCTGACCCACTCTTTTATTTTCCAGGTGCTCGTTAGTTCCAGGGTTAGAGCTTGATCATGCAGAGCAGATACAGACTTCCATTCCACCGACTATGTAGGACTGCTTCCTTATTAGTTTGGATTTTGATTACAGTTATAGTATTTTACAGTTGGGATTTTTATTAAGGGTCCTCTAGATGGATTCCCGAGTTATTAAATAATTGGAGGTTTTGGATTAATGAATTTTAATGATTATACTTTGAGGATTTTTCAATTAGAGTTCTTTCCAGCCATTTATTATTTATTTCTTATTGTTTCAATTTGTATTCTGTGTTTGTTAAATATTAATTGCTTGGTATTTCCCTCAGGTTTGGGCCTGGGCCTGATCAACCCATGTTTCGAATCCGAAGGGTATCACATAAACCTCCTTGTTGTGATGGAAATGATTATATTTATTAGAAAATTAGAATGAGGGCCTTTCTAAAAAGTACTGATATTGATTTATGGGAAGTTGTTAAAAATGGTGATCATATCCCAACTAAAGTTATTGAAGGAAATCCTAAATCAAAAAGTGAATGGGATGAAAATGATCATAGATTAGTTCAGTGTAATGCTTTAGTCATATGTTATCTTTATTATACATTGAGCAAAAATGAGTTTCATAAAATTATCTTTTGTAAAACGGCTAAAGAAATTTGGGACTTGCTTGAATTAGCCTATGTTGGATCAAGTCATTATAAGGAATCAACTATAAATGAATCCTCTAACATAAATGAGATACATTGTGGTTTTACTAACATTACTAATCATTTGAATGTTACTGGTAGAACTAACTCATCCACTTATAATGAAGAAAGTGATGCAATGCAAAGAAGAGTATAGCTCTCCAAGTTTCTAGCAAAGATACAAGTAACGTCAAATAGTTGGTTAATCTTTGTCTCATGGCCAATGAAGATGAGGTAAATTCTAATCGTGAATCTTTTAATTTAGAAACTTCCTATAATGAATTAGTTGATGAGTATAATGACTTGCATAATGCGTTCAAAGAGTTACATGGTGTGCTAGAAATAATGCTTGTGAAATGTGCTTCTTTTTAAAAGGAAAACCATGATCTCTCTCAAAGTTATGAAAAAGTTCAAATGGAAAATGGCTCTTTGACAAAGGAAAATCATTGTCTTATGCAAAAATTAGAAAAGATTCAAATTGAAAATGAATCATTGAAAAATGAAATGAAATGTGCACTCCCTAAAGAGTCTTCATCAATTGATCTAGTTTCAGAAAGAGTTTCTAAAGAAAATCATTGATAATCAAAATAACATTTTAACAAAGTTTACCAAAGAAAATGAGAACTTAAGTATTATACTTGGTAATCAAGGAAGTGTCTTTTTAAAAAATGAGATAGTGTATGATCCTCATATTAAAGATGCATGTTTATTGAAAAAGAGAAAGTTCTTAAATGATTCATTTGACAGAAGTTCTTTTCAATATCCTAAATGCAATTATTGTAAAAAATTATGACACGTAATTCAAAATTGTCCATTTAGAAAGAGGATAAGGACTAAGAGGATTTGGTTCGAAAAGGAACTTATGCACCATTACCTAACTCCCAAGGACCCAAGAAAATTTGGATACCAAAAGAAGATTCTCTAAGTTTACCTTGTAGGGCTGCTTGAAGGCATCTTCATAATCCAAGGACAAATGATTACTTGATAATAGTTGTTCAACATGTGATGTAAGAAATGTTCCAAACTCTTTTGCTCTTACGCTCCATGCACGCTCTCGCTCCCATTTATACTATTGTAACTTAATTTTGCCGCTTTCAAACTCCCTCACCAACTTCATGTGACTTAAGTCCAATGTGATAGATATAAGGATAATCGTCATATCCAACCATTCACATAACCAACCCTGTACCATCAAATAAATAATTAAATAATAAGGCCGTCTACACAATATTTATTTATACGAACTTTGTTTTTTAAATGACTAATAATTAGTCAAAGAGAATGCATTTTAATATTCTTTTGGTTGATTAAGTCAATTTATACATTCATGGAGTCCAATGATGGCATAACCTTAACAAATTGCTAGCTTTTAAAAATGAAGTGATGCTCGGAACATGACAACTTCAGTATTTCTGCCAACGTGAAGTTGCGTAACCACTTATTTCATAATGCATGTCTTCAATAACTTATTTAAATCTTATCGAAGCCTTTTTTTGCATATATATTTTAAAGGGTCTTTAATGTAAGGTATGCGGTAATATTCGTCAAACAAATAGGGCTTTAGTGACAATCAAGAATGTCCCAAAAAGCCCCAAAACCGTCACTAATGATCAAATCCGTCCGTCAATAATTAGCGCATTGCAAAAGATTTTTAGGGACGAAAAAAATTGACTATCACCAAAAAGCTCAAGCTTTAGAAACGGACTTACTGTCCCAAATAATATTGTCCCTAATGCTTTATTTTTTTAATTTTTTATTATATTTGTGATGCTTAGGAAACTCAGAAACTGTACCTAATGCTTTATTTATTTATTAATTAATTTATTATTATTATTATTATTATTATTCGCTGTGCTAGATTTTGTGTTTTTTTTTCAAGCTTTTTTTTTTTATAACAAAATAGATATCCAAATATTCAGCATAAGAGAGACTGAAATAAACCATTATCACAATATAATGTTTACAAACAGTACAATTAGCCAAATATTCAACAAAACATACCAACTCAAATAATCCAATAACCAAGAAGATTACACAGTATTAACTAAATATTCAGCAAGAATGCTCAAATGTCTTTAATAATCAATTCACTAAAGAGAAGACAATCAAATTGGTCATTCAGGTGGTTGTGGCAGTGGTGCTGACTACCGCTGAAAGATGAATAGCTGAGCTTCCCTTCATAAGATGATTATACTTGCAATCAGATCCATATTTGCAGCTCCCAATGCTAATGAAATATCGGCATTCAAGTTGATCAGGTCGCTCAGGTAGATGAAGAACTGATGTAGACAACATATGCAACTGTCCATTGGAACCTGAATCACCTTGATTCTTGGAGTTGTAAATAACATTGGGTCCAAGAACACTGCTAAAAGATGGCTCATGCTTCATTGATTGCATTGTAAACATGAATTAGAAATACAATAAATGACATTTACATTAACTAAAAAAAAAAAAGCCTCCATCCCAACTAATTGTAGTAAGTGATAATTTTGTAGACTTTCAGAGATAATTGAACCAAATCATCCCTAATATATAATGTAATAATTAAACTTGCAGTGTCCTTTTCAATCAAAATTGTTAAAGAAGACATAAGTATACTTCTAAATAGGTAGATCATTACTGACTCGCTGGCGTAGACAAGAACCGTACCATGAAAAGAACTGCAACAATCCATTTTTGCTATATAAATCTGGTCTCATTGAGAAGAAAGATAAGAAACACAAAAAGATGGATCAAATATATGGATCATATAAAAAAATTCAGAAGGTAAATTGTAGAAGTGCTGGTACCCCAAAAACTGCCAATAATGTGACTCATACAAGCAATAAATTTTGATCTGCCAATAATGTGAGTCATACAAGCAATAAATTTTGATCTAGATTTAAAAAAAAAAAAACATGTAACAAGATCAAATTTAAGTGAAATATAAATAGAACATAAACATTAAGAATTGAAGGGACCAGCAAAGAAAAATATAAATGAAGGCTTCAAGATAACTTTGTATTGTATAATGTTGAAGCAATTGCCAAGTAGACAAAAGTACAAACAATTCTTTTTCTGGAAAGAAGTACTAAGAGTTTTCTTACATATCTAAAATTAAACAATAAAGATAGTTAAGTAAACTTAAACTTATTTCATAAATACACAAGTCCACTTGTAATATTATTTTTTATTGTGCCAAAAGTTCATCAAACTAAAGCACATATATAACAGGAAATATTTCATTAAATAATACTATATAACATCACTCAATTGTTTTATAGGTGCCTCTATGTTCAATAACACAAGGCAACAAAAAGGTGGGAGCAGGAGTTATGGAGTGCAGTTGAGTTGACTATAACATCAACTACACTTTGTTGGACCAAATATGAGGCAACAAAACACATGCTAATACAAGGATGACAACAAAAAAATAAATACTAAGAAAATTGTATAGTAAGACAAAGAAAATAAAAAAAAAAATTAGATCTTTCAATTAGGCCTCATCCCAAATAAAAGGTTCTAAAGACCTGATTAAGGAAGATAAAAGCATAATAAGGGAACAAGAATTGTTCTGAATTTATTTTCAGCCCTTCATTCTTAAAGTTTATTTATAGAAGTATGCCTATCTTACAGTATACAATAGGAAGATGATCTGTTCCCAAATGTCACTCTGTGTTTATTCAAGAATGGTCCTAATCTATATATCAAAAAGTTAAAAGGCTATTAATTACAATACAACCGTAGCTATTTGACATTAATACTCATTACATTTACATTTTTGAAAAACCACAAATTATATATTTTTTTTACCAAAATAAACATCGGAGTTACCAATAATAATCATTAAATAAGTAAAAGAAAAGCAAAATAGAGTGTAAACATCACAGTTACCCTTTAATTCAGACTCTACAATCAAGGCAAAGAGATTGGCTACCGCATTTATCCCTTCTGGTGGAAGTAATATATTTGACCAGTTGTACACAATAGTTGCGGATGAATAACAAAACTTTGAGTTTATGAGCTGCTATTAGACAAGTAGATGAAGAAAAATGTACTTAATAAAGCAACTATCATATTTTTCAAACCTCATCTTACACCAATAATACTTGATAATATTTACCCATAATAACAATGCTTCTACACATAATGAGGATTTGGAAGAAAATAACCATCAAATTGCCCTACGATTCTTTCCAAATATACAGATAAATGAAATAATGAGAGTGTTTTCAGAATTGCATGCACATGTGACAAGATACTGAAAAAGTAAATAATGGAACATATAACACAAGAAGTGCCATCCAGGTATCTAATAAAGTATCACATGCCACCCAACTCCATGTCTCCTCTTAAGTGTATTTTACCATAAGAACTTTTATAACTTCACACATCAAGCCAGACAACAGGCTAAGAGTGCTAAAAGGGCTGAACATGAAGGTAAAGAGTCAACTTATGTAAAATTGTGAACAAAATAAATTATGTCATAAAAGGACATTGTAATGTGAATGCAACTGTAATTAACAAAAAACATTAAATTAAAGATATACATTGAAGGGCCAAAAGAGAATATTACAAAGCTGACCGTATAGATTTCAAAAGTTGGTTAAACACAAGGGGATTAGTTACCGTTGTTATTGACAGAAGTGCACGGCAACCATCAAGCATCTCACTGAACAGAACAAAATAACAGGTAAGACATCAAAGGACAAGTAAGCACAGAAAGAGGGTTGGGACTACAGGAATATGACCTTTCACTTTTTCCACAATCAATTGCTTTTGAAATGGCATCAGGAGGATCAATCCACTGAATAATTCCACATAGCAGTTGCCTAAGGTGCTGCTATTGCATAGGCCCAGTATCTAGATTTAAAACAAATTATAATTAGTAATTATAAAAGACAATAGATATTAATAACCATGTATATTTTGGATCCAATAGAGAAAAATCTATACAATATGGGTATTGGTCACTTTCAATTTGTTTTACAGGGTGTAGTATTGATTGTGGAGACCCAGACCTAGACGCTGTATGCAAATCTTCGAACCTTTTAACTTCATAAATGTCAGCTTAAACCTTAAAAACGCATAATTTCATAAATTCGTCCTTCAATAGTGATTGAATAAAAAGTAATTGATGGATTGAAATCAATATAATAGCATAAATATTATAAATAACACTGACAGTTGGATCATAAGAATCTAATGTTTGAAGGGTGTTTTGACTGTTTAGGAGAAAATCAGGCGATCCAATTAAACAGAGCATGCACTAGTGATTAAAAAGGAAACTTACAAATTAAGGTTTTGAAACTGAAGTCTTCAACCCAAAATTAGGACTTACAGATAGGGTCTCTTTCTCTGTGCGTCGTCGCAGGAAAAAAGAGACCAACGTTGAGGGAGAGAGAGTGAATCTGTAGGTTTGAGAGAGAGATTTCAATGAGGGGGAGCTTATTTCGTGCTATAGAGGGGACAAAGAGAGAAAGCTAGGGCTTCAATGTGACGACCCCGGTTTTTAAGCCAGTGTGTCCTGTGACGACCCGAACTGGATCCAAAATGCGGAAGCAAAAGAATTGGAATGGCCTCAAGAGATGTACATCATCCCTAAGGCACTGAAGTGACTGCCCATAAAGCCACTAAATTCACATAAGCCAAACAAATGAAGCAAGAATGCCTAATCCGAAAAGAAATGAACCAAGGGCAAAATGGTCATTTCTAAACTAAAATGGGTTCCACTAAGCACACCACTGGAAAGAAAACAAAAAATGAACCAAGTTAGACTCAAGAATCGCCTGATTCGGAGTCCGGACGGAAAAGATATGAATTTAAAACAAAGAGGCCTTCTCCGTTTAAAGGTTACCACGAAACTATCTGATTAAAACTGGAATAACTCTCACTATATATGGAGTTTTGATGAGTGGTTGATACCAATTGAAAGCTAACTTCGAGCTCTTGAACATAGAATCAAGAATGACTAGATTTTGATTTAAAATGAGTGAGATATGGGCCTCTGAAGTCAATGCAACAAAGTTGCCCAAGAGAAACTAAGAAGAGAAGGTTCTAGGGAGGATCGGTCAACCAAAGACAATGGTCAGCCAGCCGAAACTCAATCGTCAACCAGCCGAACCCCCATGGTCAGCCGACTGAAACACCCTTTTTCACCAAAAAGGATACTGGAATGGTCTCAAGACAATCATCAGCCGACCGATGGAGCTCCATCAGCCGACCGACACCTCTGCTGCTGCTATGAAAGCTGTTGCAAGGTGTGTGCAAGGTGCTTGGGCCATTTCTAAGGTTCTACATGCATCCTACATGATTCGAACATGATTGAAAACACTTTCTAGCCTCGTTCAAGCACCTAAGACATGCCAAGGCAAGAAGGAACTTCAAATGACACTCCAAGGAGGAATTTTCCATGAAAATTCATAAAATCACCCAAAAACAAGTCAAAAGTTGAAACTCAAGGGTTTTGTGCAATGTGGACATGCACGCAAACGTAGAAAGACATTTAAGACGCGTTCCAATGGTCCGCGGCTTCAAAATGCCAAGAATGCAAAATATGACCTCTCAACAGCCAAAAATGCCTTAAAAAATCTATAAATGAAACCATAATGCGAAACTTAGAATGAAATGGTGTTTAGCCCTTGGCCACACCTCATACATGATCATGGAAACCCTATGGAACAAAAATAATGGAATTCCCATGCCCGATGCAAAAGTTATGCTATAATGACTTACGAATTTTCAAAGTTTTCATAATTAGCCTTGAAAACAAAAGTGCATACAATACATGTGACTGATAAGCGCCGAATATTATATATTCAAGCGCCCTAAATTGCATTAGTAAAGTCCGTTGTATGTTAATTTATGTAGATTATCTTCATTTCTATGTTTTTATGCATTTTCAGGTTCATTGGCCAAAATGGAACAAGAATAAGGCCTTGTGGAATCTTGAGCAACAAAAGGTGCCAATGCTGAATTCTGGCAGCAGTAGAACCTGGACTTTGCTTGCCATTTTGACCTTCCAAACTCGAGAATTGGACTTCCCTCATAACATAAAAGATTTAGAGCTCTGAATTAGCTTTCTAAATCTTCAAACGGTTTGTCATTTGGAGCTTGGAGCAGAGAGTTATGGCCTTGTTACCAGAGGTACGCAGAACTGCCTGGCAGCAATGAAATTCTGCCTTGATCTTCATTTTCGACCAACCATCCTTGAGAATTGTATCTCTACCAAAACATGAAATATTTAGATCTCTGAATTAGCTTTCCAAATCTTCAAATGGTTCATCATTCAGAGTTCGGACCGCAAAGTTATGGCTGTTTAACCAAAGTAGGTCTGGGCGGAGCAAGTGAAGCATGGAGCTTTTTACACTAAATTCGAGTGCTCGAGGCCTTGCTTAGAGTGCTCGAATTTTGGGCAGAATGCCCTTCGGAAATGGCTCATTTCAGCCCACTTGCACCTTGGTTTCTTCATTTTGTTTTCCTCTTTAATGAAGTGGTTGGAGATGTTGGTTGGTGGCATTTTGGGTGGTAGATAAGAGGGATAAGAGCCACACAATAGGAAAGCTACATTTTCTACAAGATTAGAGGAGAGAGAAGAGAGCAAAAAAGAGAGTTCTCCAAGCTTGAAGAAGGGAGCACGAAAATGGAGGAAGTCTTCAAGCTTCTTCTTCATTCTAAGGCTCCAATGGGTAACTAACTCTTCTTCTAGGGAGGTGATGAAGTCCCTCCCTTATAAGCATGTTCTAGTGTAGATTTTATTTTGGGATTTCAATGTATAACCTATGGTCTTTTCATGGTCTAGAGCATTTTGCTTCTTGTAATGGATCTTCATGTATTTTAATGATTATTGTTGAATTAATTATCTATCTTAGATGGTTTATTCTTTTAATCATAGTGCTTGCACTCTCATGGTGACAATGGTAGTGAGATCATGGAATAGTTTTAATGGCATGAAGTTGGAGAAATTTGATAGTCCATTGCTTAGGTTCCCCCTTTGATGGTCTATTCTTGATTCCTAACTTTATGTGCTTTTATCATTCAATTAAGGGCTTGATAATCTTTGGCTTAGGGAGCATGTTGAAGACTACACCCTAGTTTAGGTAGTTTAAGCATGTATTCCTTTGATGGATTATTCTTGTTTTTGATTCAATGAACCTCTTGAGGATATTATAGCAACCAAGGGTTGTTATGTATCATGACCATCGTTTATGTTGATTTCCCGAATTTAAATTTAGCCTAGCATGTGTATAGGGATGGAGACGGATTCACTTCCTTAGTTTTTCTTACTCGTATCTTATCTCGCTTCAATTATTGCAAGTTTCTATTTCATGCACTTCACATATTCAATTTAGTGACAAACAAACAACTCCTTATTTCCCCTTCATCTTTCTAAGAACGATTCTAGACATTTAGGTTGCCTTAGACTAGCGCAGTCCCAGTGGTTCGACTTACCCGACCAATAACCTTATTTTACAATGATTCGTGCTATTGCGAAGGTTGATGTATAGTTGATCAACCGATCAATTTTTGGCGCCGTTGCCGGGGACTTGCATACGGTTTAGCGACCAAGGTTCTAGGGTTAATTTTAGTTTGATTGTTAATATTGTGTCTTGTGAATATTCCTTGTGTGTTTTGACCATTTTCGTGTTGTAAGATTCTAGGGACTCGAATCTCGCCGTGGGAACGCTAGCAAAGCATAAGTCTAGAGGACCCCAGGTAAGTTTCTTGACCTTTTAGTTTCACATTGTAAGATATTGTGCATGTGTTAAGTTTAGAAGTAGTTAATTTATTTGCAAGCCCTTGTTGAGGCTATATTATTGTTTTAATTCTGTGTATAAGCATCGGTCCTTGTCGTGGCCATTTATTTTCTGTCTTGATAATTGAGGAGAAAGGGAACATCGTATGTGGAGTTGTGGATAATGAATTGCTTTGTTGATTATATGCTGTGCTGTTGATGTTCGGTCGTAGGTCACTCTCTCTACCCACAATCGATTCGCCCATTGATATCAATTCTCTTGAAAGAACTCTTAGACGGAACCTTAGGGAACCCACTCTTACAAGGGACCTTAAAACTGAATTCAATATAATGGGGGATAACGTAGGAAATCCAGGGAATGAAAGGGCTGAAATTCCTAATGTAGAACCAATGACTCTTAGAGATCATTTCATTCCTACCACCTATGCTTCTCCTTCTTGTATAGTGATGCCAAACATCGATGCAGCTCAATATGAGATCAAGTCTAGTACCATTCAAATGCTTCCATCATTTCATGGATTTGATAATGAAGATCCATATAAGCACCTTGATGAGTTCCTTGAAATCTATTCGACCATCCGGTTGAGAGGTTTTCCGGACAATGCACTTCATCTCCATCTTTTCCCATTCTCCCTAAAGGATAGGGCAAAATATTGGTTGAACTCCCTCGCTCCCAACTCTATTACTTCTTGGGCTCAATTACAACAAGAATTTCTTAAGAAGTACTATCCGGTGAGTAAAACCAACCAAATGAGGCGTTCTATTCTAAGCTTTTCTCAAGTTGATGGAGAACAACTCCACGAGACTTGGGAAAGGCTACAAGATCTTCTTCGAAAATGTCCTCATCATTTGATCCCAAAATGGCAATTAGTGCAAGCTTTCTATGCCGGTTTGACCGACACCCATAGATTTATGGTTGACTCTTCTTGTGGTGGGATGTTCATGTCCAAGAATGCGGATGAGGCTTGGACCTTACTTGAGAATTTGAGTGAAAATTCACTTCAACACAATTCTCGTAGGGCTCCGACCTCAACCACTCCAAAGAACACCAATCCTTGTCAACAAAAATCAATAAGGGAGGAATCATCTCAAGTGGATGCCATAGCTCATAAATTCTACCAATTGATGGCACCACATCTTCCTCCTTCATTGTCTCAAAATTCGGCAAGTTCGGTTTGTGCCTCATGTAATAGTCCATTTCATCTCTCGGAAGATTGCCCCACACCGGAGCAATTTCCCAATCCCAACCAAGAGCAAGCTAATGCCATGTTCTCACGGCCCGGGAACAATCCATATTCCAACACCTACAATCCGGGTTGGCGAGACCATCCGAATTTTTCGTGGAGGCAACAAGCCCCACAAAATTCCTAACTTCAAAATCAAGGACCTCAAAATCAGCCCTCTTCTCAATATCAAGGTAGGCCTTTCCAAGCCTCTTCAAGCTACCAACCTCCATACAATCCAAATGTCTCCACTCCACCTCCTGCGAATCCAATTGATGAGATAGTGGCTGCAAACAAGCAAATGATGGAATCATTAAATGTGTAAATGATGGAATCATTAAACAAGCAAATCATAGATTCCAACAAGCATCTCTTGACATCCTTGCAACCTACTCTCCAAATGGTTCACTCCCATACTCAATCCATAGCTAGGCTCGAAAATCAAATGGGACAAATAGCTAACCAAGTGAACCAACTTCTTCAAAAAGACAAGGGTAAGCTTCCCGCTCAACCATTTGAAAATCCTAGAGGAATGCATGTGATTGATGAAACCCCTCCTCCGAGTGGGCCGACTCATGAACAAGTTCAAGCTATCACCACCCTTCGGAGTGGTAGAGTGGTTGACAACAAGGTTAATGGAGACACAAGTGAGAAAAACCCTCCGTTGAAAAATCCAAATTCAAGCTCTTCAAGTCCAAATCCAAGTTCTTCTTGTCCAAATACCATTTACGGAAGTCCCACGCATGTCACCCCAAATGTGGAAACTACTTATGAGCCAAAAGCTCCGTTCCCTCAACGTCTTCAAGAGTCGACACATTTTGGGAATAAGAATTGCAAAATTCAAGACATGTGGGAGGTCTTTAGGCAAGTAAAGATCAATCTTCCTCTCTTGCATGCTATCAAGCAAATTCCTCTCTATGCAAAATTCCTTAAGGATTTGTGCACTCAA